ATAGTTAAAAGTACTTACTATTCATAATTAAAATAAGTTTAAGCAGGGAACTGACAATGTGGTGATATCTTAAATTTTAAAATAAATTGGCAATCACATTTTAGCAAAATATCTTATGTAATAAAATAATAATATGCAAATTGATCATCACTCCAACACACAAAATCAAGATAGCTGCCCTCATGTGGTCAAAGATCCTGTCCCCATGTGAACACAAGATGGCCACCACAAGATGGCCAGCAGGGGAGGCCAGTTGGGGGGACCAGGCCTACAAGGGAGGGCAGTTGTGGATGATCAGGCAAGTAAGGGAGGGCAGTTGGGAGGCACCAGGCCTGCTAGGGAGGACAGTTGAGGGTGATCAAGCCTGCAAGGGAGGGCAGTTAGGGGTGACCAGGCCAGTAGAGGAGGGACGTTGGGGGCAAACAGGCTGTCAGGGGAGCAGTTAGACATCAATCAGGCTGGCATGGGAATTGGAGAAGATCAGGCTGGTAGGTAGAGCTGTTAGGGGCAATCAGGAAAGCAGGCATGTGAGCAGTTGGGAGCCAGCAGTCCTGAATTGTGAGAGGGATGTCCGACTGCCCAGTTAGGCCCAATCCCACCACTGGGATCGGGCCTAAATGGGCAGTCGACATCCCTCAAGGGGTCCCAGATTGGAGAGGGTGCAGGCTGGGCTGAGGGACACCCCCCCTTCCCGTGCATGAATTTTGTGCACTGGGCCCTCTAGTGTCTTAATAAAAGGCCAATCTGTTATTTTTTTGTGAATAATATGTTTTTTGTTTCAGTTGACTTAGCATACTTCTATTAAAAGTATTTTAGAGTAATCAGATCCAATTAATTACGATTATAATTAAAATATTGATAATTGCTCAATGAGTAACCTGCAATCTGAATAAAATTCTTAAGCTCTACTAAGACATTTTGTCCCAAAAGATAGGCCTTAGATCACATGTGTCAAACACAAGGCCCACGGGCCAAATCCGTCCCGCTAGGCCTTGCAATGTGGCCCGTACCGCGCTGTCATCACTGCACTCCGCTGCGTTTCCATCACAATGACAGTTTATGACTGTTCAGTAAACCATTCGGCCCGCGATTTAGGCTGGATTTTAGATTTTGGCCCCTTCTCTGATTGAGTTCGACACCCCTACCTTAGATAGAACATAAATCCAGACATTAGGCTAATGTAAGATTTACAAACACAACTGTATTTAATAATGCTATCTTGGCATTGGGAGGAAATGATCAAATGAATTCCTCTTAAATCGTTAGGAACCAAGGTAATTTGTATCTTTGTTTGCAGTTTTGGGTTAACTGGCTGCAAATATCTATTTATATAAAAGGCTAAGTGTTCATACTTCCCTCCAACCAGTAGCTATAATGTGCACTGACTACCAGGGGGCATACACCCAATAGAGGCGCTGCCAAGACGTGCACTGGAGATTTAAAAATAAACTAGAGGCCCAATGCATGAATTTGTGCATGAGTGGGGTCCAACAGGCCCACCCCAAATGGGCCAATTGGCGATCGGGCCAGACTGGTCAGGGGGAAGGGCCGAAGGCAGTTGGTGGGCTGGCCCCGCCCTTAATCAGAGTGTGTGTGGGGGATCAAGGGTGGGTCTGGCCAGGAGGAGGGGCTGCAGGCAGTTGGCCAGTTCAAATTTCTAGTTGAACTTCTGGTTGACCTTCCAGTCCAAGGGACAATTTATTTATTAGCCTTTTATTATATAGGATGGCACCAGGGAACTGGCACTGACAAAGCAACACTTGGCTCCCCTCAAGTGAGACACAGGCCCCACACTACTCTGGAGTGACACCACACCAAATTGAAACCAACACTACCAAGACCCCATGGTGCAAAATGTGGCCCACAGCCCAGCACAGCCCAGAAACTTGCTGTGGGCACTGTGTATGATAGCACATGGCAATGCCCAGATTCCTCTCCCTAATAACCCTCCTTGGAGTTTCTTCAGCCCAGGAACCTGACTTGCTCAGATGCAAACATTTTATAATTTAAACAAATGTTTGTGAAGCATTTTCACATGCCTCATTTCATTTGATCCTCACAGAAGTGCTGGAGTAGGTAGATAGGAGGCTCAATATAATCCTGATCATGAATTTGGTTGACACTTCTATTACCAAGAAAGGGCAAATAGCCATATTAAAATATTTCTTCTAATTAATTTCCTTTCAACATACACAAATCCATGTACCAGGACACTAGTATACCACACTTATCTGCCTACCCTTACATTGAATTCTGACACCTCTAGGACTTAAAATTGTTTAATTATCTGTGTTGTGAGATAAATGTTTCTAGGGAATCTATGGATCTTAGAAGATCAGTGAATAAGACTATTTGCTAAATATGACTTTGTGGTAATTAAGAGTCATAAACTACATAGAGGAGAGTAGAAAAAATACCTTAAAAGGTACAAAGATAAAATGGCATAAATCAGCACATGAAGTAAAGTACAATGTTATGAGATAGGGGTGGTGTGAAGTCCCAATAATAAGACTGAGACAATAAAATAACTGAAAGTTTTGTTTTTCTTTCTTTTCTCATGTATCATAAAAGCTAAAACAGAAAGGAGTAAATGATGAAAAATAAAACATAACGTGTGACCAGAGGGAAGTTCTCATTAGACTGTATAAAGGGAATGATCATTAAAGAACAGTCACGCCTGCCTAGCATGACTCAATGGCTGAGTGTCAACCTACTAACCAGGAGGCTACAGTTCTATTCTTGGTCAGGGCATATGCCCACGTTGCAGGTTTGATCCCCAGTGTTGGGCTTATAGGAGGCAGCCGATCAATGATTTTCTATCATTATTTATGTTTCTATCTCTCTCCCCCTCTCTATTCCTCTCTGAAATCAATAAAAAATATGTATTAAAAAAAGAACAGTCACATACTATTTGGTGAGCTACTGAGTGACTATAACTAACAAGTACTTGGCCATTGGCAGCCCCAATGATGATATTTTAAAATAAAGACCACAAAATTAAAAAATGCTTTTAATTTTTTTTCCTCCAAACAAATTTTATGGAAAATCAATGCAGACTGACTTAAATCAACAAATGATTACTATGCCCTCTCATCATTACCAATTACTTCTTTCTACCTCCTATTCAATCTCCTATTGAGAACATTTTCCCCACCGATTTCAGCAACTTTCAATGATTCCTTTATCCTCTCTAGTATCCCTAAGGTCTATGCAATTATGAAATATTGAATACTGCTGATACTGTTTATTGATGTTTTTCATAAGGGTTCCAATCATCTCCCATAAGGAAAATCATTCTTAAAAAGTGAGCAAATGCTTTATACATACTCAGCAATCCACAAGTGCTATAAAGAATTGTATCCAAAAATAGGTGTTCCTCAATATTTATGAATTACCTTATTAGTTTAAAAAATTTTTTTAAAAAGTCATTATTCTATGTTAGTAAAAACTCAATTGATAAAGTACAATGAGTGGGCAGATTATTATGATCTCTGAACACATAATAATCTGGCCACTCAGTGTATATCCTATATTATAAAAGGCTAATATGCAAATTGTCTCCTCGACCAGGAGTTCCAGCAGCAGGCAGGCAGGTCAACCTCCCATGTCCCCTCTCCGTCCCCCTGGCTAGGTTGGCCGGACCCCACCCATGCATGAATTCATGCACCAGGCCTCTAATATATATCCTGAATGGCCAGATTATTATGCATTCAGAGATCATAATAATCTGGCCACTCTGTAAATATCATGGATGGTTTAAGTTAACCTAAAAATATGTACCCATATAGTCACTTCATGATTTGCAAAGCCTATTTTTTCTTAATATATTATAAAAACACCAGAATGCTCCAGTTCATCTCTTCCATCTGGCCATCCTACAATACACATGAAGACTAAAGATTGATTCTAAATGTATACATAAAAAAAAAAAAAGGAAAAAAAAGTAGCTCATGGTTCATTCATTGCTATAATTTGGTTAGGTCCTCTGAGGCCTTGCATAATATTTTGTCTAAATCATGAACTTATATAATAAGCAATATATTAAACCTTGAGTTACATAAAACAGTGAGCAAATAACTTTTAAGTGGCATTTGATGGCTAGATTTTGAACATCTGCAACAGTTAATTCATTATCACTTACTCTACAGGCAATCATAGTTAAATATAATCTTAAGATGACTGAGTTTAAGAGAAAGGCAAAGTTTATACTTCTTTCTAAGAGTAAAATACATACATGCCTTTATTTGAACACTGTTAAACTAAATGATGATCCTGGAGTAGAAAAATGATGTTGGTAGAATACTAAATTTTAAAAGTAAAACACAGACTCTTACAGAAGGCCAGTTTTATTTTATTTTTTTAATATTTTACTGATTTTTTACAGAGAGGAAGGGAGAGAGATAGAGAGCTAGAAACGTCAATGAGAGAGAAACATCAACCAGCTGCCTCTTGCACACCCCCTACCAGGGATGTGCCTGCAACCAATGTACATGCCCTTGACGGGAATCAAACCTGGGACCTTTCAGTCCGCAGATCGACGCTCTACCACTGAGCCAAACCCGTTTCGGCAGAAGGCCAGTTTTAGAAAGGCTGCCTTCTGCATGAGTTGGAAAACCAATACAGAATTAGAACAAATTCAAAAGGAAAAAAAAGTAAAGGGAGAAAAAGCTAATGATAACTTATTGGACTAGACATAAAAAAAATCTTGACATTTGTATGACTGATCTTACATAAAAATAATAAAAGAAATATTCATCACAAGGAATCATTATTCTTGGAAATATTATTTACTAAAAAGGATAAATGGAAAGAAAATGAAGCAGAAGGTCACATGGGTATATTTTATCAATCAATATACTGATTCTAATGATATTCCAGTCCTAAATTTCCCCCTGAATGCTTTGCAAGTGATAGACCTTAAAAAAAGAAGAATATGTATACCTAGAGAACATTCTAAACAATAATGAAATGCATACAGTAATTAAGTATTCATTACTTACAAAGGTTGTGTTTTCCAATAATAATGTGGTGGCATTTGTTTCTATATTCAGTTTAATGACATGTCCGTTCTCGCTTTTATACAGCACATCTGTATCTGCAACAACAAAGATATTAACAATAGACGATCACATTGACTAGGTAATATGATAACTGTGGAGGAGAAAATGTGCATCATTAACCGACACAGTAGAATGATTGTTGGTAGCCTTTAAAAACCTGAGCAGGTTTCTATAGTTGGCTCACATTAATCCGCTTCAGTGATAGGGAAGCCCACCTAGCATATGGCCTATTGTGCAATGAGAAAAAGGTTAGTGAGAGGGCTACTCGCCATCCTGATTGAACAAATAAAAATTAATTAAAATATGGGCAATCGGCAGCCCATTCTGAGAAGAGAAAGAAGGAACAATGAGAAGTGCCTGCAGTTTTCTATGTAGGCTGTTACTGATTAATGATCTAGTTAAACTTGCAGAAAGGGCTGCCAGTTAATCATAAGCACACAATGCTAGGGCTACTGATATTGAACCAACCCCATGCAGGCTTTTCCACGTATCCAGTCTTCCCACCGTCCAATTCCTACTCCAATCTTTTTACTTTGGGTCGAAATGTTGTCCCCGGTATTTTATCTGATTCAAGTGATCACAGATCAAAATCTTTGATGATAAGGCCTTTTTTGTGCATAAAATTCTAAAATGAAGATATTTTAAGCTATACTAATCACCTTCAAATGCTTATAATGTATGGGAAGATTTTCAATATATGTATTGTATTCATGTACTAAATTCTGACCAGTGTTTCCCCTTTTTAAAAGCCTTGAAAAAGGTTTCTGTACTTATAGGTTTATCAAATATATCAGTACAATGCAACTACCTTTATTTTAGAGGCCAGTTGAAGGCTACAATAATAAAATTTACTAAACACCAGTATTATAAAACACAAACACATATTTCTGAAACTGTCAGCATACCACTGTATCTACTTTGTCAACTTTAGAGAAAGTGTGTCTTTATTTAAAATAATGAAACTTTTTCCTGAACAACTGCTGATTTTATATATTTTGAAGTCACATTTATCAGGAAATTAAATTATCATAGGAGTACCTCAGACTAAAAGTACCAACCTAAGGGAAGGCTATCAGAAAGGATACTCACAAGATACACAAAAGCAGTCTGGAGTATTTCTTTTTAATAATAATAATATCTTTCTAGTTTACCCACTAACCTTTCCTATGGTAATAAACATCCCAAACCCCCAGGAAAAAGGGCAGCATTGAAGAGGATTTAATCCACTATTCATAATGAATGAAGTTATGTAAGTTACAACCTCCCAGATCCTGAATGTGTCATCTGTATAATGATAAGCAAGTACTGCATTCAGGGTGATGAGCATTATAGAGAAATGGCTGACACTTTGGCAAAGCAAGATTTTCTGACCTGTTTTCCAGTTATTTCAATATTATAAATTGTAACACTGACAAATCACATGATGAGAAGCAATCGATATTATAGAAAATAAGGGTTGTTTTTCTTTTTTGTCTGTGTTTCATTCAGAAGACTGAGAGGTCAATAGGACTCTCCTATTAGAGTCAAGGATGGCACAGAGAGCCAGTAGTTCTTGTTGACGTTATTCACATAGGGGCAGTGACATGTTGGACCTATGGTCTGGGGAAGAAAGGAAAATAAATGGTGATTTAAAAGAGAAGGAAGACAGACATAAATATTTTGAAGTTATTTTTGGAGGCAGACTGCACAGACTGCAAAATAGTTCTATGTGATCTTTAAAATAAGGCCTTGCAAACATTAATAAAACAGGAAAATAAGATAAGGCATTGCATCACCTTCTGAACCTTTGTTGTTAGCTCTAAGTAAATTGGGTTACTTTTATCATTAACTTTACCTGTTTTCCTTTTCTTATGATGTTGACCAAATAACAAGTTTACACACATAATACATATTTATATTCTTCTCTATCTTCCCTTTGTTTTCTATCCCAAGATTATAACCACAGCCTAAAGGCAACAATGGTCACCTCTGTTACTTGGTTTTGTCAGCTGACTCAATTAATGCTTGAATCAACAGTCCATGTCCAACAAATCACTCTTGTTATTTTTCTTGATATTCTCAATTCTGTATAATTTCTTGATATTCATTAACATTATAGATTAGCAAGAAGAGACAAACAAAGTGCATGCCTTAACAAATCATTATTATTATAATTTTACAATAAATTAAGAGGAAAAGGATTCCCTCCTTCTACATGGAGATAAATATAGCACAAAGTCACATGATGGGAGATTTTCCTCCCAAAGAATGAGTGTCCTGCAAAATTCTAAGTAGGGATGAAGTGTGTGGGCTCAGGGAGAAAGAGGAGCTGAGAGAGGAATTTTAGTGTGAAAGGTGCTCTTCTCCAGGAGAAGAGATAGAGGAACCCATGGCCTCAGAGTCTCTCATAGAAAGTGAAAACCCCAGGCAGGCCAGAGGTTGTATAGGAGGCAGAATAAGGAAAATTCTTTTTTATTTCCTTTATAACCAAACTAGAAGTGACTGAAGCTTGTTTGAGGAGATAAAAATGTTACCTTAACATTTTTTAAAGTAAAGTTTGTTAGGTAATTATTTAGACTTGAACAAATCTACAGAATTTGAGATTGTATAAATGCCTCTAGCTCTGCCCTCCTGGGAATAATACTGTCGATGTAGCAGCGGGATAAATTTTTTTTTAATTCAAGGGTAACTATCTAGCTAAATATTTAATTCGGATTTCTGCCTAAATTATTTTAAAAGTATCTAAGATCTGCGATAATTAATTTTTCTTATTTTTTCTGGTCTTTAAAATCTGGTCTACTGGGTCTCATATTTATCCTACTTTCCTATTTGATTTATAATCACTAGTGAAGTCTCACAGTTTTGTAACTCCCATTACTGCACTTAATCCCTTTAGGGAACCATATTTCAAAACTGTCATCTCATATTTTGTTTAATATTAGGTAATGAAATTTGAGTGAACCAGATCAAGGAGCAAAGTACATTAACACAGGAAGATGAGGTAGGTGTACTTAAAATATTTTTAACACACAGTGTTATGCATGTCTATACAGTATCTTGATTAAATAAATGATCTTCCTTTTCAGCTCAATGAAAGTTAAGAGTCAATGAGTCAATTATCCTAAATACATATTCAATCCAGTTAGTTTTTTGTTGTTGTTTGTTTTTTCTTTTTTCCTTAATGAAAGATGTAATCCTTGTCTAGCCTCTCCATCCCTGGCTCCAAGAATACATTTTTTGTGTCTGTTCCCCACATTACTGTCATTTCTGTCCCATCCATTTTCCATATTTGTCTGACAAAAAAGAAAACAATGGTACCGTATATCCTAGTTTAAGATCTTTCAAGTAAAAGCAACCTTTTAATTAAACCTCTTCCACAGGAGACAGCCAGTAAAACACTGTGTGTGGCATCCCCCTCCCATACATCCACCTCAACTGTCAGGACCAAGAACCAAAGCTGATTTTACTTTTAGTTCTTGAATACTCTTGCCCACAAGGCTGTAAATCTTTCCATAAACGCATTTTTTTCTTCTGAAAGTTAATTTAGCTGCACATATGTTTCTAAAACTGAGAAAATTTCTTAATAATCAAACTGTTTACTTAATACTCACTTCAAGATGCTTCCCTCTTTGTGTTCACCAATCCTAAGCAATTACATCCAGGTTCTCACTGAAATACCTGTCTTAACCAGTAATATACATTATCTCCCCCCAATCCTGCCACCCGCTTCTTCTGCACACTCTAAACAGTCAGATTACTGTTCTCCCTGATTGCGTTGGGTAATAAACTTAGCTTTTCTTCATTGGTTATTTTGGAGGTCTTCTGGAAAATTGCAGTTGACAACATTTATCTTTTATTTGTATAAATAAAAAGTCATCTTCTTGGTTATTGTTGATGTATTTGATAAAGTATGTATTTAATTTTGATACAATATACTTTTTATTTTTTAAAATATATTTTATTGATTTTTTACAGAGAGGAAGGGAGAGGGATAGAGAGTTAGAAACATCGATGAGAGAGAATCATCGATCAGCTGCCCCTTGCACACCCCCTACAGCAGGGGGCAGTTAGGGATGATCAGGCCAGGCAGCATCTCCTAGTCATATTCAGTTTACAATTAATTTGCTCATCATGTACATCAACTCTTTTCTCTTTTCATTCACAAAGCCTAACAGTGACTAGTGAGTGAGACAGATATTCATTGCAATCTGATGTGGCCTTTCTGTGCCTTTCCCAGGATTATTTTTTTAAATGTATTTTATTGATTTTTTTACAGAGAGGAAGAGAGAGGCATAAAGAGTCAGAAACATGGATGAGAGAGAGAATAATCGATCAGCTGCCTCCTGCATACCCCCTACTGGGGCTGTGCCCGCAACCAAGGTACATGCCCCTGACCAGAATCGAACCTGGGACCTTTCAGTCCCCAGGCCGATGCTCTATCCACTGAGCCAAACTGGTCTCGGCACAATATGCTTTTTAAAATATATAATTTATTGATTTTAGAGAGAGAGAGAAAGGGAGAGGGAGAGAGAGATAGAAACAGTGATGAGAGAGAAACATCAATCCCCTGACTCCTGCATGCTCCCTACGTGGGATGTAGCTCCCATACCCAGGCATGTACCCTGACCTGAAATCAAACCGGGGACCTCTTAATGCCTGGAATAATACTCAACCAACTGAGCCACACTGGCAAAGACTGACATAATTTGCTTTTAATGTTTCAAAATTAAACCTGTCATCTATCATCTAGCCATCATCAATCATCTACCTACACAGAGTTTTCAAAAAGTGGGAAAAATAATTATTGGAGAAATTATAATCCACATATGACCTTCATCTTTTTGAAAACATCTTTTTGTTATATCTAAAATAAAAATTCTATAACATCATTTTTTAAATTTATACTCAGACCAAAAGCAGAGTATTTTTTTATTTTTTAAATATATTTTTATAGATTTCAGAGAGAAAGGAAGGGAGATAGAAACATCAATGATGAGAGAGAATCATTGATGGGCTTTCTCCTGCACACCCCACACTGGACTGAGCCTGCAACCCA